CACATTATGTCATCCTTTATGTCAATCCCAATGTACAAGTAGATTAATCCTAGTCTTGTTAGATCATAACCGGTAGCCAATCAAACGCGCTCTAAAAATAGACTATCAGTGGTCTCTGTGACACATATACGTGGCGGAACCAAATTTCACTGACGGTACTAAATTACGATCGTCAGTTCCTCTTCTCCCTTCTCTCTCATTGATATTACAGTGCCGTCGCAAAATGTATCGATTGGCGGCGAAGCGGCTGCTACCGGCGTTGGGGCGCCGGAACTCTCACTTCCGAAGCTCATCCTCAGGCGTTCGAGCCCTAGCAGATATTATAAATCCATCTCGATTCTCTTCATCAGTTGCCTCGGAGACGATTCGGGATCAAAATCCCTTAAATCTTGACTCTTTTGCAACATCATCATCATCTTCTACAGCGCGGAGCGAAGAAGAAAGATCACGTGCCCATGATGAAACCCAGCGCTCCAGAACTACGACTCGACCTAAAGCTCACTGGCAGGACGAACAGGCGCGTGTTCTTCATGCATCTCTACGTCACGTGGTTCGCTCCCCTTTCTTTCTCCTTTTTATCGACTGTTTCTTGAATTTCATGTATTTGCATGCGTACCTCTGTGAGCTGGCGTTCATAAATCCTGAAATGAATGTAGGAAATTTTTAATGCTTGGCTGCTTGGATTTACGGTTTTGGAGTTGGATAGCGTAAAGTCTAATTCAAAATTTAATAAAATCGTTTTAAATTCTTGCGGAACCCTAATTTTCTTAAACTGATTGCAGCTTAAATTTTTGGGGATTTTGAATTTTTTGCTCATGTTGGTACCAAAGGAAGTAGAAGGTAATCTTTGGATGCTTCACGTAATGCGATAATCCTCCAAATCAGATAGGATGGTTAATAAAAAGCCAGAATTTTTTTTTCGTTTTTCTTTTTTAGTTGGAGTGAGGATGGGTCAATTTACTGAATGAAGAGAAAAAATGATATTTGGCACCCTTGTTTGATCTCCATTATTTACAAAATACATTTTTCACTCTTTTCAACCACATTCTTAATAAACTAATATTGCACGCAAACCCAAAACTTTTATTTATTTATTTTTAACCACACCTTCTTCAACTTACTATTCCAAAATGCATTTTTCAATAAAAATGGGGCTCAAACAGATGAATATTTTAATCGATTTAGTTTTGGGTTGAGTTGCCTAGCTGATTTTCTCGTGCAGATAAGATTAGGATGGACAGATGCGGCTATGATAGCTGGAGCAAGGGATGTTGGCATGTCTCCTTCTATAGTGGGATCTTTTCCACGGAAAGAAGCTGCTCTAGTAGAGGTACCCTTCTAGACGTATTAGAACAGAGAGAGGAAAAAAAAAAAGTAACTTAAATCTTGTATTTTTGATTATCTTTTATTTTGCACTATCAGTCTAGTTTATCTCCTTTATTTCTTGACCTGTTTCATGTAGAGGGATTAGGAAGCCAAAGAAAAGATAGTTTCATTTATTTATTTGCTGATATCTTTTCAACTTTTTCTTGATTTACTAATATAGGCTTTATTTTCCATGAAAAAATGTCAGTTTTCCACTCAAGGTCCTACTTTTAGAGTGATTTGGCATTTTCTTCATGGAAAATATTTTTCAAAAGTTGGTCACGTTACCATGTTTTCCTCAAAAACAAGGAAAACGTTTTCTTCATTGAGGGGAGGAGCTTGTAGATTTTTATTTTCTAGGCAATTCACACTTCCCAAAAACTTAACTTTTATCTCTATTTTAACAAGTTCTTATTTCCCAAAATGAAAAAGTACAATATTTTGAAGTTGAAAATTAAGCCAATCAAACATATTTGATTGACAATTTTCAAATAAATTCTAGGTAATTCAATTGTCTAGGCTTATTTTTCTTTCCATGCAAGTTTCATGCTTACAATCAAACACATCCTAAGCTCTATTTTGAAAAAGGAAATAGAAGGGAGTAGTTTTTTAATTCCATATGTGACATGGCAGCAGTTTTGTCTATAATGGCCTTTTATATGTTTCTGCTTACTGTTACAATTTGTGATTTCATGCTGCTTTTAGTTTCATAGTTCTGCATTGATGAATTATCTTTGTGCTGAAGGCATAGCATCAATGTGTTGGGAAGTTTTTCATTCCGAAATACTTGCTTGTCTGTCAGCAAATGAATTCTGTATTTATCCCTTGTTTGGTTTTGCTAAAAAAATCAGTTTTTTAGTAAATTTTGATTTTGATAAAAGTTGATGAAATGTGTGGTTAAAAAGTTGATAAAAATTGTGGGTCCCATTAAATATGTGGTTAAAATTAATTATTGAATGTAACAGGATTTTCATCAACAATTTTAGTTAAACCAAACATGGGCTTAATTTGTTAAAAATATCTGTTGTCGTTGTGTATACCGTTATCGTAGTGACAATTTTTTACCAGTGCGTTCTGTACATTGTTGAGTTGTCTTCCTAGTGGATTCTTGTAAGCAGTTAGATCATCTATATGATTGCCTACCTTCAGCGTCATATACGACTTGATATGCTTATAAATGTGTTCTTTTGACCTTTCTCCTTGCGATTGACTCGTTCAGTTTTTCATGGATGATTGTCTGCAAAGGCTGATTGAAACTATTGACACAAATGAGGATTTAAAAAATTTAATACCCAGTCATCGTGTTGCAAAGCTTGTGAGAATTCGCCTAGAAATGCAGGCTCCTTACATTTCAAAGTGGCCTCAAGCACTGAGCATACAGGTGCACTTGTTTACCTCCTGTTGCTTGGTTAGGTATGTTAAGTGGAATCTTTTTCAAGTACATTCCTTCTTTGTATTGCATTTAGGCACAACCCTTAAACATACCAACAAGCTTCAAGCAGCGGGCAATGCTTGTTGATGAGATTTGGCATGCTGCTGATGAAGAGGCTGCTGATATTGATTGGTACGCTAAACGTACAGTCCTTGGTGGGATATATTCTACGACTGAGCTGTACATGCTGACTGATACTTCTCCAGGTAAGCTCTTCTTAATTGTGTATTGCTGTGTTCCACTGCCGTTAATTGTTCAAATGTTTGCGATTCTTTTGTTTTTTTGTGCCATTGATCAGAGATCTACTTTGCATAATAACCCTGATCATCATCACATTGTAGGATCTGCTTCCTGACCTCAACTTCTCAACTCTCCAGTTTCTTTTGCAACCAACCCTAGACCCCAAATAATTTGATTCTTACTTGATTTTGACATTTGCAGCCTACTTCCACCTGTTTCCCTTAACACATTGAGGACATTTCTTACAGTTTAATCATAGTTTTTGTGTCTCTTTGTGGATTAATAGAATCCATTTCCTATTTGGTTGCGTGCTTGTGTAGTGTGTTTAAAATTCATATCAGCATGTATAGAAATGTAGTCGCAGAGTCTAGAAATGTAAATGCTTTAAACTCTGTTAATACAAGCTGCCTTTATTATTTAGGTCAATTTATTTTTCTCTTTCTCAGCCAGGATTTATTTATCCGTCATGTCCTCTGTTTATAGACTTTCAGGACAGTTGGGCATTCTTGGACGGAAGAGTTAGAGATGCTTTTGATCTAAAGAAGACAGTTAAAGAGGTAGTTACTGTTGGCCGCTTTTCATAGTAGTTTGATCATTAAATTGATGCTGTTGAATTTACCAGTTGTTTCTCTAGTTCATTTTTTCTTTACATTATTGTATTATGAAATAATTAGTTATATTCCTTGTTGTAATATATGCCTCTGAGTTAGCACTGTCTTTGAATCCCCATGAATGAAAAATATCTCATCGTTCCCAATATGATCGCTTCATATGATAATTCAAGGGATTTGATTGCTCTAGAGTGTATCTTAGGGAGTCAGTGGCTATGGTATACCTTTTCACGCGTTGTAAAATGTAAACAATCCCATCCATGTAAATCTTTCTGTTTTAGATGTTTATTTTAGTAGGAAATTATTAGATCGGAATGCTTGCAAAATTTGAGCTTATCTTGAAGAACTTGGGAAATTGTACTCCCTGGCCTTTCCTGGACCTGGACTACTTGCCAAGAGAAAGGATTAATATTTGCTATGAGAATGATATCAGCCCTTTGCTCACAATATCCTGCTTAATTACATGCTTTTGGAGTGTGAAGAGGAGAGGCAATGTCCTATAGCCATTTGAGGAGTTATTGGGTTCTGATTAGTGATAATCTTTCTTGATTTCCTGTTATTTGTGTGGCATTAGTGATCTTTTGTACTTAAACATGAATTTGCAAAGCATCTGCATATTCGTTACAGATAGGTCACTATCGGTAAAATCACCCTCTACCCCATCACTACCATTTTATAATGGCTGAAACATAGGCAATATTGAAGATTTACCAAGTTTAGATACTTATTTTAAGAAAAGCAATCAGGGTCTAGTTTTAAGAATTTGTAGTATTTATTTAGTTGTTTTCCTACTTAAATTAGACTATTGAAACCCTAGAGGGTCAATGCATTGTATTATTGTGACTTTGATTATTGGATAAACTCATACTTTCTGCCTCTAAAATTACTCTCCTCTCTTTCTTGTGTTTCTCCCTCTATCTCTTTCTTCTCCCCTCCTTTCTCTTCTCTTCTTCCCCTCTTTCCCCTTTTTAAATAGTCTAGTTCTTGTTTACCGTGGCCCATCGTCACAAACACTATGCTTTCACTACCCTGCACCTGTACTTGTCAAACTATTGGTATTTAAGACCCTTTTTCCATCTCCTAGAAGTTACAAAAAGAGTGAAGCATATAATCTTGCCAACGTTTCTCTAATTATCATAGTTTGAATACTCCATTGCTTCCATCATTAACTATAATCATAGGTTCTTCTCTCCAGAAGCACTATCCTTGTTCCCCATCATTATTGTTAGTTAAATCAATTTTTCATTTTTTTTTAGTTTCTGAATGGTAGCACTATCTTCTTCCCCATTTTAGAAGAACATGGGAATCAGATGAAATGGTATCAGCTGCTCTTGGAAATGATGACGTTTGATTTTCAATTAGATGCTTGTGCATATATGTTATTGAATTTGTTGCATGCTGGGATGTATTTTTCTGAGTCTAAAAAAGTGGAGATTGTTGGTGTGCCTGTGGATGCATATTGTTTGACAGGCATGAATACTGGAGGTAACACAGGTGGGCATTTGGGAGTGATCTATGTGGAGTGCCTTGCTCCCTGGGGATTGGTTGTGGTTTGGTTGAGAGAGATATATTTCATATGGACAGCGTATTATATAGTACTGCAAATCACTGTTTACTTGTAGACTCTCAGATACTTATTCCTGAAAATTGGATTCTAAAGATTGTAAACATGGAAATCTGCAGGTGAAGTATTTGGCTGAAGCAGTTGGTGCTGGTATTGGAGGTTCCTTACCAGGATTTATGAAGAAAGTTTTCAATGGTTAAATAATATATGAAGATGTTTCAGAAAATCTCATTGCAAGAAACCTTCTCTTTTTGGGTCGGGCTTTTCTAAGTTTAAAGTTGCAATATTTCCCCACTTTTATACTTTTTCCCTCAATTATTACAGGTTCTTTTAGTTTCTTTGTGTAGAAGAAAGCTGTTGAAATAAATGTGTTCTCTGTAGGCGTGGGATTGGAATGTGAACCGGTTTTATTGGTGGTTTTATTTGTAATTTGTGTATACATCAATAAAAATTCCTGTTGAGATTAGACTAATAAAGAGCTAAAATTCCACTCGTTTGATAGGCATTTTATCCTTTGTTATAATATGGGCATGTTCGGTAGGTAGGCAATACTGGAGAGTTGCTCAGTTGGACAACAACGAATCAGATTACGTTATATAGTAGATTGTACAGGTAGACATGATTTTAGCGTAAATAACATTCTTCCATCCTGATTTTGTCTAGATCAGGACAAAACAAGTCAACTCTGCTCTTTCTTCCCCCATTGAACCTCAATGTGAAGTTCAGAGAAATACGTGGTGCTTAGCCAAACATGGCAAAATGAGATATCAACATAAGCCATGGCAAAAATATTTGCATCCCCCTGAGAAGAGCATTATTTAAAATCCAAAATTTGAGGTGCAAAATCCCCTCCAGAACTTAGATTTGTATGTTTGGAGCAGATCAATTGAACCAGAACACCTACAGAAATATAACAAGTCATAATGTGAAAATGTATGACAAGAGCTATGAGTTGAACAGAATTTGGACTGAGTGGTTCGAGCATGCTATTACCCTGAAGATTTATACATAGCGGAGGAGACACATTATATCTCTAGAACTATGTCTGCAATCAGAAGAACAGACGCAATTAGTTTATTTTAAGATTATTAAACCCGAACAAACAAAGGTACACGACGAAATAAAGATCGATTCTTTGTGCATAACACTAACAATCTGAGTCCGTTTTCACCCATTTACTTCCTTCACTTTCACTATCGCTCTCAGGCATATCCAGGTATTTCTTTACTGTAGACATTTGAGCAGAACTTTGTGGGTAAATCTTTTTCTGCAGGATAACCCCCAAAATCTGTAGAGAAAAGGCATCCATGAAGGTAAGCAAAAGAGATTGACATGAAACACCAGGTTAGTGACAAGTAAAATGAATAATAATAATAATATCCAAACCTTCTCTTTTCTTTGCTTATCCAATTTTGTCTCTGGAAATGGATCTCTTAAGATGGGGGTTGAACTGAATCCGCCTCCACAGAGTAGTGCTTTCTTGAGAAGAAAAGATAATGATTTTTTACCAATACCATAAGCTGTGCTGTGCAACAGAGTATCTGATTCTCTGCTGTGGATTTCACTGGTTGGTCGCTGGAGATTACCGTCTTTGTTTTCTGAATCGCCATTTATCGACTCATCCGAAGTTTTGTCATGTTCCAAGCTAGGCAAACAGTCAAATTGAGGGTTATCCATTGGCTGGTCTTGACAGGAGGATAAGCTCTGTTGAAGATTGGAATTCTCTGTATGTTTTAGAGTGCTGTTTCCGAATGTTCCAATAGAAAACAACCCATTTGGCCAATCACTGAATTCTTCTTTACAGGTTTGGTGCATGATATAATCTGTAACTAAGAAACAATGAGAAAACATACTAGTCTTTTAGGGCTTGAATTTCTACATAGATCAATTACTAGTTTGCTTATGTACACAAATGAATGATAGAAATTCTGCGTTAAAGGGCTCGAATTAAGTTACTGGTATTCTTATGAGTTTATAAGATGACGAGCAAAAATGATGCTATGAAGATAAATGTGAGGCCATACTGAAATGGAGAAGATAAGTATGGTAACAAGTGTAGATAACATTAGTTGATTAAGTAAATGAGACATAGATGGTTGGCACATGCTTTGTGTAGACTCGTAAAATGCTCTTGTTTTTGAGAGCGATTCAATCTGGTTTAGTATATGTAGCAATGAACGCAAAACAGAGTAACAAATTATTTTACATGTAGCTGATTGTAAATTTATGGGGAACAAGATTGATATTTTGTCGTCAAAACTTGTGATACTAAGAGCATGTTTTGTTATGAGAGTCTATAGCATTAATAGGAAGTAACATTCACTTCCAACCTTCTATTAGAAGTTCTCTCTTGTTAAAAATAATTATGGAGAATTATGAACTCATACCAGTTGCTGATGCTGAATTTGGTTTGCTTCTCCTTTCTTTTCCATTAAGCTTGTTTTGCATCCAACTAAATATCTGAATCAATCATTACCAACCAAAGCACATTAAAATCTGTATACCATGCACCATTATGTTAAACAAGTGTGGGTTTTAAATTTTGAAGCCATTACCTTCATTTGCAAATGGAGAATCAGAATTGCAGAAAATGGGGGATTTGTTAAGGGTGGAAACTGAAATATTGTGTGTATGCAGCAAATCCACAACCCAAAGGAAGTTAGCTTTGGAACCTTTATAATAGATGGTGGTAGGTGGGGTGAGGCAGGGTAGGGTGGGGTAGGTTGGGCGGGTAGGGGGAGAAATTTCACAGCAAGTAATGGTTCAAGTTTCATACCAAATTACTACTGTATGTGAAGAAAATGGTGGGTGAGTGAGGTAATTTGTGAGTAGATAAGGGAAATGAATGACAATAGGTGCAAAATTGGGTATTGTCATTTACAGTCTGAAAAGAGAGTCAGATGGTAGAGTAAAAAATTGATATTTGAACACCCAATGGTTTAATTTTTCCTAATAATTCAACTTTAATTTCTACCAAACAGGAGTTATGTTTGTTTTCACTTTATATATTGCACATCTTAATTGTGACGAATTAACACTCGTATCGGTATTCAATTTTCAAGTTTAACATATTTTAAACATAAACTTGTCTCATTTATCTTGGATCGCATAAATCTCCTTGCCTGATGGTAATCCAGCTCTAAGATGCTAAGCAACTTCATTCAAAATAAAGGTATAAAGCAGGTCAAAAGGCGTGCCCATCAAAGAAAAACGAGGTCCCAACACAGCCTGTGTAGAGCTTGGGCATGTCATCGAGCCTGACTGCTTTCTGAAAAAAGAAAAATAAAAAAGGTTTGTGTGGGTTGACCACTGGTTTAATAGAGCTAGGCTCAACTCAGCCCACTTCTCTAGATGGGACACTTGCCATCGTGGCTGGCTCACTTGAACCGAATTGGTGTTTATTAAGGACATATTTGAGGCTCACTTTTTTTTGTTAAGAATGCATTTTAAAATGGTAAATTGATGGAGAATGTGTAATTAAAAAATAAAGAAAATTTTTAAATTTTCATGTAATATTAATTTTATTGAAGAATATATGATTGA